AAATAAAAAAAAAAAAAAAAAAAAAAAAAAAAAAAAAAAAATTTGAAAACTAATAATAATAAAAAAAATACTTTATTTTTAACTTTAACCTTTTTATATAAGCTTGTTTTAGTAGATATTATATCAAATTAACTTAAGAATATATTTACTTTTACAGATTTATTAACTAAAGCTATAGGTCTGGCGATCTTAGTGTAGTAGTTAGGTTGCCAGACCACCATACAAGAAGTCTGAGGTTCAAATCCCACTGTTAACGAATTTGAATAATTTTCCAAACTTCTGTATCTAACTTATAGCAAACTCTGTTTGTTTCTGGGGTTGTAACCCTATAAATCATGTTGCACCAATGTCATCCAGATATTGGAAGTACAATATGATACTTGAGGAATGTAATATTGTATGAATAAATCTTGATAGGATCTATGAACAGGGAACCTGCATAGTAGAAATCCCAAGTTAGATGAAGTAGTATGGATTTTAACAGTCAATTCAGTTAACACTTGATTCAGTAGGGAAGTTTGTGTGTTTATGTTATAGATTGAACAGATGTGAGTAAGTCTGTCTGACACACAAAAAGGCTAGTAGTACCAACTTAGCTTAGTGGCTAACTGGATTTGGAAGGATCTATTTCATGAAATATCTTAGAAACTACGAAGGACTAAACTGGTGAAAAGCTACGGAAGGAACTAGATTTGTATGAATATTGACAAGGGTCTAAGCTAGGTGGAACCTATGAAATAGGCATGAGACACTCTAGTAGGTTTGCTTATGAGGTTAACCAGCTCTGCAGATACTCACAATATGTTAGGTATAATATACTCTGAAAAGATCTAAGCTATTCAGTAGAATGATCTGTAACAAGCTAGCTGGCTTAAGCAGTTAGATGTTGCAGTGATATTAGTTTGGAATTGCATGTGACACTACATTGAACAGAGTGTTTAAACAGGTAACTCACAAGTGAGTTACAGGTATAGTAGCTTGTGTAGAACTACTTAGATAACCTAATGTCTGTGTAGTGGACTACTTAAATAGACAATGACTAAAGTTGTACATGTGACTAGTTGTACACTCTTCATGTAACTATAATAGCAAAACTATCTATATTGTGACCCTGTATCTGAAAATTAATAAAATACTTGTGGCAAAGTAAGCCCCCTTAAAAAAAAAAAAAAAAAAAAAAAAAAAAATTAACTAAAGCTATAAACTTTAAAATAATATTAATATATTTAGCATAGGAATCAGAAACAGATATAAATTCTATTTTAGCCTTTATCAATTGGTTATATTAATTGGTCATCTTATAAAATCTACTACGAGTTTTATCAAAAAGATATAAAAAAAACTCTTGAATATAACTATTTAACTAGCAAAATTTTAGATTAGACAAAGTTAAAGTAATATTCTACAAAATACATATGATATTGTCTATTGAAACATGTGATGTTTATTTTGACCAATGGTTAAGTAATAACAAAGATTAGAAAATAGAAGATAAACAATATTTCAATACACTTATCTAATTTATTACATGTTTTTCTATATTACTATTAGTTACTCTACTCTTGTTTACTAATAAATAAATCAAATAGTCTAAAAAGAAAAGCGATTAGTGTAAGTTAGATATATGTAAAAAAAAAAAAAAAAAAATTTTGTCAATGTATTATAATACACATGATTTGTACTATATAGATTGGTTAGCCAATAATAAAACAGGCCAAATACACGTAATATTGTCTATCTTCCCAATGATCCTCGACTATTGGTCGAAATTATTCATACCTCCCTTCTATATAAAAACAAAATCGTGAAATCTACAGACAGTGCTATGGGACAGTACAGTCACATGACTAACAATACAGCAATTTTTTTGAAATTTTAAACGAAAATATCTTGACAACCACCTGATAAATTTTTTTTTTTAAATTAATTGTATACATTTGTAGAATCAGAATAAAAATTTTCAGTGAATTTCACTAAGTGGTTGTTAAGATATCTTCAACCAAAGTTGGGTCAATGTTCAAATGTCTATCAAATTCAAAGCCGCTTCAAAATTTCAAATCTTTAAATGAAGATATCTCAGACAACCACCTAACTAAATTCGATAAAAAAATTTTATTTTGATTCTGAGAATATATTGAATTAAAATAAAAAAATTTCATCAAATTTTATCAGGTGGTTGCTGAGATATCTTCAACCAAAGTTGGGTCAATATTCAAAACGTCTATCAAATTCGAAGCTACTTTAAAATTTTTCAAATCTTTAAATGAAGATATCTCGACAACCACCTAATTAAATTCGATGAAATTTTTTATTTATTTTGATTCTACACATATGTAGAATTAAATTAAAAATAGTTTCATCGAATTTCATTAGGTGGTTGTCGAGATAGCTTCGTTTAAAGAATTTAAAAATTTTAAAGTAGCTTTAAATTTGAAACGTTTGAATATTGACCCAGCTTTGGTTGAAGATATCTCAGCAACAACCTGATGAAATTCGATGAAATTTTTTTATTTTATTTAATTCTATATATTCATACAATCAGAATGAAACGAATTTCATTAGGTGGTTGTCGCGTTAAAATTTCAAAAAATTGCCGTATTGTTAATCACGTGACTGTACTGTCCCGTAGCATTGTCCGTAGATTTCGCGAAAAAAAATTATTTTAGTTTATCATATAACAATTGTTTGGCACCCATATTGAATTCGACCAAGTGGTCATTAAGAAAGGTTTTTTTTTTTTGCTATTCTGCAAGGTAAACATTAACCAAAATATTATCTAATCCTTCGTTTGAGTAGCATTTTACGTCTATGCTTACATATCATATTATCCAATGACAACCTTTTCTCTGAATCCGACTATAAAAAAAAAACAAGACAAAGTAGCTAATAATTTAAAATACATTTATAATAAAGAAACTTATAACGAAATTATTAACAAAGATGTAGCAGAAACACCATGCATTCATATTTTTCCTTTGTGAAATAATAATTAAATACGTAAATTATAGTGCATTACATACTAGAGTGCGTAAATCCAAATTTTTTGATGTTACACGATATCAATCCTCAAATTCAGCAATTCAATTGGTCAGAAGTTCTAAGTATCCGAATAATTAATATGAAACGGTCAAGGAATTGCAAAAGTAGATGTTTAGGTTCACTGAACTGTTATTTTTCGCTCAAATTTTTTATAATCATAATGGTAGAAATAAGAACAAAATTACAGAAAAACTTTTTATATTAAAATAAAAAATTTGTGCAAGAAAAAAAATTAAATATATTATTTTACACGAAATTCATTATTAAAATATGTTAAGCTCTACGTAACAGCATCTCCTTGATTAGCTAATAAACAGAAATACAAGCTGTGATATAAAGATTCGCAAACACAACATAATCTTTTAACTTGAGAATGCATTTAATTATTTTGAGTTTAAATGACCATATCGATAATAAAGAAAATTCATAAGAGCAAATAATACGTATTTTCGTATTTCTTTTTCTTATATTTAAATTGTACCAAAGTTAAAACCAACAGAGGCTTTTAATAAAAAAAGTTGTGGTTATTATTATTTTAAAAATATCAGTTAATTTGAGTCATTAATGTATTAAGATTAAACAATATATTGACCAATAATTTTGAGGAAGTCGATGTTAACTTGAATTTAAATAAGCGCGATTCAAAATACGAATGAGTGGAGACTAAATATTACAAAGGTATATACACAGTATACGTATAAGTAGAAAAGATATCATTTATTTACTTAAGAAATACTGTATTATAATGCACAAAGAAGTACGTATGTCGTAAATAACTTAATAATATTAAGCTCTGCGTTTAACTTATATTTTAAGACAGAAGCACAACTGGTTTTGTATATAGCATTTATTAAATCTAAAATATCTGAGAATTATATATCTATATTTTTGATATCATTCATTTATTATCAAAACAGTTCACTCGTTCTTGCATTAGTGGAGACAACAGATCTTTATGTTAGAGGTAAATTATTACTGTATTACTGGAAATTTACCTATGAACCTGTTTTTCATTAACTGAAATATTTCTTGTAAAATTTTAGTCTATAATTTATCAATTTATTTAACCCCAATAATAGTTTAAACAATTTAATATAAATATATTTTTTAGGTAAACAGGAGTAATTTAACACAACTAAAATAGTTAGAACAATTTAATATATATTGCATATAACAGATAATTATTGTTTTTAAACAGCTACGTACGTACATATCATTGTTTATCGTTAGTTTATAAAAAGTATTCTTACCTTAAATTTATCAGAGCTAAAAATAGATTTTAATCACTAAAAAATTTATGATTAAATCTCAACTTTTTCGATTCTGATTATAGATATCATCCAAATTTCGAATATTATTAAAAGAACCATGGAAGCAATTAATATTCACTAGATTCAAATACAGGAGTTAATAATCTACCACTTGAAACAAAACATGCTTTACTATATGGATGAATTGTTTTAGTATCATATATATAAATTCTCGCTTCTTGTTCTTCAGAATTAACACCAAATCCTAAATATTGTATAGAATCATTTATTAATTTTTGACGCCAGATACCTCCATAACAAAGTCTTAAACCTTCAAGTTTAGATTTATTAGGACCAATTGTCCCTTTTGGTTGTGTTGAATCAACAGAGAAAACTGAGGTGAGAGTTTTTTTATTATTCAGACTTTCAAATGCAAAATCAAATGCGTGACGGGTTTGTTCCAATTCGAGTAGATCATGTCGTGAAACGAATACCTAAAAAAAAAGCCGAATAAAAATTTTAATTCATCTTTTTATACGTACCATAAGTTATTAATATAATGAAAATTAAAAAAAAAAATTTTTACCAATAGGCGTTTGTTTTGAATTACGAAGGCCTTATGGAAACGTTTTATGATAATCTCTCT